ATTGCTCCCCTGTAAAGGTTTTGCCCCCCTGAAGTAATCATTTTGTGCCTAATTGTTATTAACCACGGCAGCTGGCTTGCCTACTTCTAAAGCAAGTCATTAGGGTACGCCTTTTGACACGGTGCCAGACTTTCTAAATGCCCATGTAGGGCACTCAGAAAGATGACTAGAAATAAAATTTGCCTCACTGAATCTTATCTTTTCTGCATTTTTTTAGGAATTATTTCATAAAGAAGTGATAATGCACCATGGCAGCGGGCCTCAGAATGTCCAGCACCAGCTGCAGAGGTCCAGGGCCTTCGCCGGCAGCGAAGGAGAGGAGCAGCAGGCCCATCCAAATCCACCCCGGTCCCCCGCCACACCCTTCGCGCCGTCGGCGAGCCCGTCTGCACCCCAGTCACCCGGTTACCAAGTTCAGCAGCTCGTGAATAGGAGTCCCGTGGCTGGGCAGAACGTGAGCATCGCCCTTCAGAATGTTGGACCAGTGGTGGGAGGAAGCCCACAGATCACGCTCGCCCCTCTGCCGCTCCCCAGCCCCACTTCTCCAGGTTTTCAGTTCAGTGCCCAGCAGAGGCGGTTTGAGCGTGGATCTCCGTCATACATCCAGGTTACCTCACCGCTGTCCCAACAGGTGCAGACTCAGAGCCCCACCCAGCCCAGCCCTGGGCCGGGGCCAGGCCTGCAGAGTGTGCGGGCGGGCGCCCCTGGCCCTGGCCTGGGCCTTTGCAGCAGCAGTCCCACCGGGGGCTTTGTGGACGCCAGCGTGCTGGTGAGGCAGATCAGCTTGAGCCCGTCCAGTGGCGGGCACTTTGTGTTTCAGGAGGGCCCGGGCCTTGCCCAGATGGCTCCAGCAGCCCAGGTTCAGCTGCAGCACACAGGGACTCCCATCATGGTCAGAGAACGGAGACTCGCAGCCCCACGCACAGTCCGGGGGGACCGTCCACCACCTGGGACCCCAGAGCCCTGCAGCCTCGGGCGGGGCCAGCCTGCAGCCGCTGGCCAGCCCCAGCCACATCACCACGGCCAGCTTGCCACCCCAGATCAGCAGCATCATCCAGGGGCAGCTGATCCAGCAGCAGCAGGTGCTGCAGGGACCGCCGCTGACCAGACCTCTGCTTCCCGGGGTCGGAGTCGGGGTTGGGGGTACTGCAGCATTTGGGATGACGTCCCCACCTCCCCCCACCAGCCCTTCCAGGACCACAGTGCCCCTGGGCCTCTCCAGCCTTCCTCTCACGTCTGCGGGGAGTGCGGGGGTGAGAAAGGCTCCCAAGAAGTTGGAGGAGATCCCCCCGGCCTCCCAGGAGCTGGCTGAGATGAGGAAGCAGTGCCTGGGCTACCACTACAGAGAGATGGAGGCGCTGAAGGAGGCCTTCAAGGAGTATTTGATCGAACTGTTTTTCTTGCAACACCTTCAAGGGAACATGATGGATTTCTTAGCTTTCAAGAAGAAACATTATGCCCCGTTACAAGCTTATCTGAGGCAGAATGATTTGGACCTTGAGGAAGAAGAGGAGGAGGAGCAGTCTGAGGCTATTAACGATGAGGTAAAAATTCTTGTGTGTAGTTTCTTGTTATGGAAGTGGGTGTCATGGCTTCTACCATCACAAGTGAAATTGCATCATCTTAAAGCAAGTGTTCTAGACACTTTACTTTTTCACCAAAACACTGTTATGGTGACTTGATAGCTGTCTTAGAGAGGTGCAGAGACCCTCCTGTTTATGGAGGATGGTTCGGGGACCCTGCACGTAGCTGAGTCTGCTAGCACCCACATGCCGGCCGCTCACCCCTCCCTCTAAAGGTCCCTCTAGTTCCTCCCATCACTGCTCCAGGCTGTGCTGCTCTGAGTGGTGGCGCCCACAGCCACCTCTGCAGTGCCCTGCCGGCAGGGCTGGCCGCCGTCTGAGGCTGAGAATCCTGAACAGACGCATCTCGGTGTTAGAGTCTCTGTGTTAGTTGTAGATCTAACTTAGACTCAAAATGTTTCAGGCACAATTGACAAAATTTCAAGAGGGAATTCTTAAGTCCACAATTGTATGACGAGATTTTAGCATTTCTCTCAGAAAATAATAAATCAAGGAAATAATTATAAGGATATAGAACATGTGAACAACACAAATTAACAACACGAATTATCCTGTTTGACTTTATGTATGTGTACATATATAGATATAAATGGGCATGTGTGTTTAAAAACTTTCATTCAACAAAGTGAAATCATTATTTTAAAAGATACATGGGGGCCAGCCCCCGTGGCCTAGTGGTTAAGTTCTGCATGCTCTACCTCAGGGGCCTGGGTTTGGTTCCTGGGTTTGGACCCACACCACTTGTCTGTCAGTGGCCATGCTGTGGTGGCAGCTCACATACAAAAAGAGGAGGATTGGCAACAGACGTTAGCTCAGGGTGAATCTTCCTCAGCCAAAAAAAAAAAAAAAAAAGAGTAAATTAAAAAAAGGAAAGATACATGGACATTTTTTGTAAATTGACACCAAAGGAAACCTCAATAGAATTTTAAACATCAACCCCATGTGGACCATTCTCTGTATACAATGAATAAAATTAGAAATCAATTATTTAAAAAATATATTATGTTTGGGGGGCTGGCCTGGTGGTGTAGTGGTTGTTTGCACTCTCTGCTTCAGCGGCCCGGGGTTCGTGGGTTCGGATCCGGGTGCAGACCTATGCACTGCTCATCAAGCCATTCTGTGGCAGCATCCCATATACAAAATAGAGGAAGATGGGCATGGATGTTAGCTCAGGGCTGATCTTCCTCAGCAAAAAAAAAAAAAAAAAAGTATTATGTTTGGAAACTAAGGAACTTACTTCTAAGAAATTCATGAGTTGAAGAGAATATCCTAATGGAAATCATGGAATATTTGGAACTAGATGACAACTGGAGTGCAGTGTCCTGCAGACCTTGTGGGAGAAGCTGAAGGTCTACTTAGGAAGTTGATTATGTGAGAAACAAGAAACACTGAAGATGAACATTCCAAAAGCTGTGATAGTCAGACTAATAGTAAGTTAATTCTTCTATTAATTTTACTACTAAATAATAGAAACAAGTTTTTATGGAATCTGACTAGCATCTCAGGAGTTCATATTTTACCGTCATTTCACAAGAGAATGTTGGATTCTACTAACATTTACTGAGATTCAGACTTCCATGAACGTTTCCTCTACGTCATATTGTTCCCGTTCCAAGTGCTCGCTGTGTATTTTAAGTCTGCCCCACTAACGTCAGCTCTCTTAGCAGACTTCACTGGAGCCATAAGATTTTTGGGAGCTAGCAAGTATCGATTTCAACCAAATTGTTTAAGTGAAATTAAGTAACTTTGCCCATGGGTTATTTACTTGGAGAGTTGGTACAAGTGAAAACACACTTTTTAAACCTTTGAGTGGTTATGTTGATATATTTTTTAAAACTTTAAAAATCATTAAGTTGAGTTTTCAGGAGCTTTTCAGAAGTGCTCTAGAAGTCAGTATGTAAACCTATGTTGGGATTTAATGCTTTATTTTCTTATCTTCAGTATGTTTTTCTAATTTTGCTTCTCAATATAGTAGGATTTCCCCTTGAGACCTTTGAGTGATATATTTGTAGTCAGTGTCTCAGAAACTGTGAGTGTCAAGAGAGGGGTCCACCTCTATCCCTTTTAACCTTTTCACTAAGGTGAACTACTCCATAACATTCAATTTCAGTGTTTTAAACGTGTGAGGAGACTTGTGGCTTCTTACCTTCCAAGAAGGAGCAAACTCTACTAACAGTTTATCTCCTTCAACTTTCAATGCCTCAGCCCCCAGATGAACTTCAGGCAGAGGCCTCTGCACGTGCCCACAGCATGGACGTCACTCAGAGGACCTCAGAGCTCAAAGTCTTCTCCTTCCCTAGGCATTGCTGATTACTCCCCAGCCTGCCAAAATGCCAAAAACTCCCACTTTTTTAATATGGTTCTCTCCTTCTGGGTCAACATTAAAGGCTTCGGTACCTCCTAATAGAACTGGATTCCTGCTGAGGCCAAGACAGTTAGCCAATGTCAGCTGTTTTAGGCATTTTGATTAGCAATTACATTGCAGGTTCCTGAGTGAATGAGAAATGTTTGTACATTTCATTCAAGCTCACTTGATTAGAGAGTTAACTTTCTTGATTTTTTAAAAAATTTAATTGTGGTAACATATACAGAACATAAAATTTACCATTTTGCTTATTTGATTTTCTAAAAGTATACATTTTTTCCAGAGTACTGATAAATATTAAGGTTTAGTTTTTATTATTTATGATATGTTTGTTTATAATTAGCCTTCTAGACGTGTTTAGCCAGATGAACCAGTTTCTTTTGTTATATTTCCCCTTGTGAGCTTTTAAGATGTGAAGTGCTGTTTCACTTTGAGTTAATTTAATTTAAGAGTATATTCCATTCGAATGCCCTGGACTAGGAGCAGATAATTCCTCTTGAATGACTCTCATTTGCTTAACTCTAGGAAGTGCATTATCGCGGATATGCAGGTTAACTTGTCCTCTTCTGCTTTGTCAGATCAAAATGTGTTTTTAAGAGAGTATACATTTTCAGTGTGTGTGTGTGTGTCCTTCTCATTCCCTCCTCCCCCACGTATGCCCTCCCCAGTCAGCTGCATACCGCCATCCCCTCCCTTCTGGGCTCATGGCTGTAACTGTCCACTGAAGACAGCTGTCATGCCTGACTTGTTACCTGTCAGCAACTAAATGTGTCTTATTGAAATTAAGGTTCAAACTGGAGTTAAAACAAACTTTTCAGTGCTGAGGTCCTAGTTTTATTCATTCCAGCCCGCTTGTGAGTCACTAACAGTGGCAAATAACCATGTGTTCAACTGTGTTCATCCAGAATCACACGGTGGCAACTCACTTGTGTCCCCTCTTCAGTGAGGTCCCACCATCTGAGTGTGAAATGCAGGTATTGGTCAACTTTGAAAAGTTTAAAAATGATTTTCCCTTTTTCCTCCTTTGTCTTCAAGTATTTCCTCTCAGCTAAAGGTTGTGACAGGAAAGGATGGGCAGACTGGTACTCCTGTTGCTATAGCAACCCAGCTTCCTCCAAATGTTTCTGCTGCTTTTTCATCCCAGCAGCAACCATTTCAGGTGCTTTTCAAGGTTCTCAAATGTAGCCTCATCCCAGATTTTCCTCACTCGGATTTGGGGGTTTGGTGTTCTCTGGAAGAATGCAGATATTTTCTAAGAGCTCATCCTTTGTAGTTAAAAATACATATTGAGAGGACTTTATGAAGTCTCAAAGTTTTAATACATGAATTATGTTATTATTTTTTTCCTACTATTGAAATTAAGAAGTGTTCGTCTCTGGTTCATTGGCTTACATCTATTAACTTTTCAGCTGGAATGTTTTTCAGTTTTATTTGTTTTTCTGATACATTTGCTTTTTTATACTTTTTGTATGCTTGTGGCCTCTTTGTGACAGATTTTTCTCCTCATCCCCCCCCCTTTTTTTTTTCCTGAGGAAGAGTCACCCTAAGCTAACATCTGTTGCCAATCTTCCTCTTTTTGTTTGTTAGCCACCACCACAGCCCGGCTGCTGACACACGAGTGGTGTAGGTCCATGCCCGGGAACCGAGCCCTGGTGGCTAAAGTGGAGCACGCCTAACTTAACCACTAGGCCGCCAGGGCTGGCCTCTCATCCCCCTTTCTTTTTTTGTGTGCTTTTTAAAAAAGAAGTAAAATTTCTAAATTATTTCCTTGCTGGAGTGAGTTTATTTTGTTCTTTGGACATGTTTTAGGGGATGAGGAGCAAAGAATAATGAGTCTAGGTTTCAGAATACAAGGAAGTACCTGGAAACCACAACTCAGTTACTTTGTTTCTGTAAACTGAGAAAAAAATACACAGCACATAAAATGTACCATTTTAGCCGTTTGTAAGCATACAGTTCAGTGGCATTAGGTACGTTCACATTGTTGTGCAGTCATCACCAGCATCCATCTCCAGAACTTTCGGAAATTGAAACTCTGTCCCCATTAGACAACAAGTCCCGATCCCCCTCCCCCAGCCCCTGGCACCTGCCCTTCTCCTTTCTGTCCCTATGAATTTGACTCCTCTAGGCCCTCATGTAAGTGGGATCATACAGTGTTTGTCCTTTTGTGACTGGCTTATTTCACTTGCAGAATGATTCACGATGTAGCATGTGTCAGAATTTCCTTCTTTTTTAAGGCATGGAATAGTATTCCCTTGTCTGTTCAGCAGTCAGTGGACACTTGAGTTGCTTCCACATTTAACTGTTGTGAATAATGCTGCAGGGGACATGGTTGTGCAAATATCTCGAGACCCTGCTTTCAGTTCTTTTGGGTTTATCCCCAGAAGTGGAATTGCTGGATCATATGGTAATTCGTTGTTTAATTTTTTGAGTAACTGCCATACTGTCTTCCATAGCGGCTGCACCATTTTACATTCCCACCAGCAGTGCACAAGGGTTCCAGTTTCTTTACTTCCTCACCAACACTTTATTTTCTGTTTTTTAAATTATAATAGCAACCATCCTAATGGTGTGCTGTATACTTTTATAGAAAAATATGCACTGAATACATATGTACATAAAGCTGAAGACTTTCACAGTTTTAATAGTCAATCAGCTAGCACCATTGATGGTATAGAATTGACTAGTGAGGGAGGGAGTATTTACAACACAGCTTTACTTCAGAGTGACAGATGTGACATTGGCAGCACATGCAGAATCCCAGAGGAAGGGTCCTCCTGGAGAAAGTGGAAGAAGGACAGGGGGCTCTTGTGAGCAGAGGTGGGGCTGTCTGAGTGGAAAGGCGCTCTCCATTTGTGCCCTGGGGGGCACTGGGACCCACACACAGACCAAAGCCTGCTCAGTTCCCTTCTCACGTCTGTGTTCTTAACAACTGAAATTGAGTTCAGTGTGCGTCTCAAACCCACTGGCCGTGAGGAATGTGAATTCTTTAATTTTTGTAAATTGATCATTATCTATGGAAGCATTTAGGAAGCTGCAGTTTTCACCTTAACAAATATTTTGTCACCAACTCATTAGTGATCTACGTTGTAGCAGATACAAAAGAAATAACATTGCAAGTTTCTGCCCTTGAGTCTTCTCGGAACATAGTTTAGAAAATATTGGAAGGAGTACAGGACATTGCATAATAAAGCGTGAAACTGCTTTCAGCAACGTGCCAAAATGTGTGGGAGACTCATTAGGTGCTTCAGTTGGCCGGGAGTGTGAACTATAACTCACGTTTGTGATGGCGTCTTTATGGAATGTGGCTAAAATATTATGGGCTTGTGTGAAACAATTTGATTTATTTACATACAGAATTTTTACAAAAATCACTTTTAAAATTTTTATTTCAACTTTAAATTGATATTGTATTATGGTGAAGTCAAACTTTCTATAACTGTTTCATTTCAGATGCTAGAGCACTACAAGTATTTTCCCCAAGTTATTTTGAAAAATTTCAAACTTATAGAAAATGTAGAAAGAATAGTGCAGTGAATACTAATAGCCCTTCACCCAGACTCACATTTCTCACATTTATGTGTTCTCTGTCTGTGTCTGTCTATCTGTCTCTATCTAATATATCTAATTTATCTGTCTGTCTATCAATCAGTCTATCATCACACTTTTTCTCCAAATCATGTTCAAGTTTTAGATCAGATGTTTCATTTCTGAATACTTGTCATGTATCTCCTAACAAGGATGTTTGCCTGCATGGCCATAATACTATATCATACCCATTAACTTTGATGCAGTAATATTTAAAACTTCCCCCCTGTCTCAGAATATCCTCTGTAGCTGGGTTGTTTTCAACCCAGGATTCAGACGAGGGCCCTGCGGTGCTTTTAGCTGCCATGTCTGCCTCGCCTACCTTCATCTAGAACAGCGTTTGTTCCTTCCTTCTCTCTCACGACACTGACATTTCTGAAGAGCCCACGGCATTCACTCTTAGAGTTGCCACAACTTGGGTTTTTCTGAGTTTCCTTAATATTAGATTCAGTTTAAACATTTTTGGCAAGAATACTGTATAGGTGATGTTGTGCAAACATTATTTTAATCTGCAGTCTGGTGGATTGTTAGGGAGAGGCGGATATGTGGGCCCCTGGAGATGCAGCTGGCCGGCTGAGTGGTGCTGGAGTGGCGCTGGGCTTTGGGCTCGGGACGGCCAGTCCGGCCACTTGGTCCCTCTCCTCATGCTGTCTGCTGGAATACGCTGAGGAGGCACGCTCTCTGTCGTTAGCTAGGGCTTGGCCCGAATCCTGAGGCTGGGCGATTGTCTATTTCTTTATAACTCCTTGCTCCTTCTATTCAGAATTCCTCTTTCTAGGGTCCTCTGTCTCGCTGTCGACCCACATCAGAGCCCTCTCCTGGAGGAAGCCAGTGGTAGGAATTGTACACCAAGCATTGAGCTTTCTGAAGAGGCCACACGTGAACAGAGCAAAGCCTTGATGGGCTGGGATACCTGCCTGGTCACCTGTGGGCTGTGGCCTTGGGCTATGACCTGTCCTTCTGTTCTTTGTCAGGGTGAATTTGGCCTATCCAGCTTGCCTTATGCAGCAAAGTAGCTAAAAGATACATTGACACCCTAGGATTCTCTTTGGACTCACATAAAAACAAAATTTTTTTAACACTTTGAGTCAAAGAAATGCGATTATCTAATTTTATAGGCAAAGTTTTTTTTTTTAAAGTATCTTTTCCAGGGCCGGCCCTGTGGCTTGGTGGTTAAGTGCGCGCGCTGCGATGCTGGTGGCCCGGGTTCGGATCCCGGGTGCGCATCGAGGCACCACTTCTCCGTTCATCCTGAGGCCGAGTCCCGCATACAGCAACTAGAAGGATGTGCAGCTACGACATACAACTATCCACTGGGGCTTGGGGGGGAAAAAATAAAAATAAATAAAATCTTTAAAGTGTCTTTTCCAGCTTTTTCAGTATTTCTGAAACTCAGCTGACTGCAGCATTCTGATCTATCTTTGAAATGGTCCTGCATGCTGGTTTTCATCATGAATCTCCCTTCTAGATAGCTCTCTGAAACTGAACATTCTGCTTGAGAAAGGATCTCACATATTAGGATATGGAAAAAAATGTTGTTTTATATAAGAATAATGCCCAAGGGCCGGCCCTGTGGCTTGGTGGTTAAGTGCGCGCGCTGCAATGCTGGTGGCCCGGGTTCGGATCCTGGGTGCGCATCAAGGCACCACTTCTCCGTCCATCCTGAGGCCGAGTCCCACATACAGCAACTAGAAGGATGTGCAGCTATGACATACAACTATCTACTGGGGCTTTGGGGGGAAAAAATAAAAATAAATAAAATCTTAAAAAAAAAAAAAAAAGAATAATGCCCGAGGATCAATACATATAGGTTTCATGTCTCAGAAGTAGTCGTCCGTATATTTATGAAAGCACCCTAGGTCACTTTGATGCAGTTGATGATGAAGAAATCTCCGTATAGTCAAGGAGATGTGTGCTAGAAGTGATTGTGGGAGCGTACAGAATGCAGCCCACCCTCAAATGAGGCAAAGACTGAAGGTGTGCACTTGGAAGACAAAAGGTTTATTGTGCCTTATCCCAAGTATAAAAATATAAAAATGCAGTAAATACCTTTAGTCCATTTCAGATTTGCCTGTGCCATACCCCCCTGGTGGTGGTCTGTATGATTTTGTCCTTATTTCCGTTAAGAGTTGGTCTTACAAAACATATTTTCATGTTTGGTAGACTTTATGAAACCCAGATCTCTCTGCTCAGTAAATGTTTAGACTTCTGAATTTTCCTTTTGTATTATTCCCTAATTACTTAGATTTCGTTTGCATATGAAGAAGTGCTTGCCTTTGCCATCAGATCCACCCCCACTTTTTTTTAAGTTTTTTGTTAAGGTATGTTATGGACTAGAGTTTAATTTTTTTCCAAAAAAGTTATTGACATTATAACTTTTTACTCTAGTTTATACAACTGTTTTTTTAAGCCTTAGATAGTTTTAACACTAACATCTTTGATGTTTTAATTCTAACTTAGACTTTTTGTTAGTGTGATAACTACATTTCTTACCCAGATCCTGCTTCTGAAGCCTAATTCTATTGTACTATGTTTAGTAGATGTTAAACAGAAAAGTATGAAACAAATGGTAATAGCTTTTTTTCCTTTGTTGTCAAGTTCAAAGGCTAATATGGAGTATTTTGGAATTTATAATCATCAGCTGGTAGCTCTAAGCTGTGAAATCTTGTTCTTTGCTATAGAGACTGGAGAGATAGTGAGGAGGTACTTCTTTGAAAATCAAAGTGATGTAAGTCAGTGTACATTTACCTTCTGAAATGTTTGTCTTCTGATAGCATATACACATGAGGACTCCAGTTCCTGGGAGTATGAATACCATGGAAATGGAAACATTTAAGAGACAGCAAACACTGACACTAACAGGTATGTAGCAATTAACCAGCGTTAAACAAACAAACAAACAAACGACACTTGCCTGATACCTTTGGCCTTTTATTTCACAACTTTTTATCCTTTTAATGGAAAATCCACAAGTATGTCATAAATGGGTTCTATGGGCTCGGGAAAGTGATTGTGCCTTATTTCAGTGGTAATCAGAACCCATTTGTTCTTATTTAGAACGAACTAATTTAACATGCTGTTGACCATTTAGTGCATAGTGTTGGCCAGTTAGTGCATTGTGGTGGGAGATGTGGTGAAGATGCCCTCTCATATGGAGGTCGTACCAGCACTCAGGGAGTGGCAGTACCTGGGTCGACCAGGGGCCCTGGGACCTGGCCCTCAGCTCTGGGTTTATCAATACACTCACGAACCAAACACATGAAAGACCAGGTCACCCACTTGAATGTCAAGATACCTGGGGAGCGAATTATTCCACAGCAGGTTTGGAATCAGAACAAAGTGAGATGGATAATCTCAAAAGATGCGGTTTATCCAATCCGCGAAAAGTCTAGCGTGATTGAGGTTACCCCTCTAGTGATTGTCATGTAGATGGATGTGTTCTGCTCGCTTGAGCTGTAATTGTACAGCATCACAGTAGCCTGCACTTCTGATAGAAGCAGGCATAGTGCAGCATGAACTCTGAAGACACAGCCTGGCTCACTGTCTTGTGCTGTGATTGGAGTGTGATGTCACAGATTCTCCTAAGAGACCTTGACTGGAGGTGTGCTGCCCTGGGCTGGGCTTTCAGCATGCGGGGGTGACTTCAGGAGGCCCTCTCCAGCAGCCTATGCCGGCAGCACAAAGTATCTGTGTCGAGGCACCTGGCGGGTGCTGGTCCTGGAGTGCCGGGGTGGGACTGGGGATCCAGCTAGCATTTGGGGGCCATTGCAGGCTCTGCCACGTGTAAATTGTTTTTTGGCAGATTGTGCCTGTTTTGTTTACTCAGCCATGTGTGCAAGCTAATGGTGTTTGTGCAGGCTTAGAGATTATCCTTAAATGTGCTGGACACTCAATGCACCTGTGTGCAGTCAAAGGGACTTTCAAATTTTACTTTTAATTCTAGAGCCATCTATGGTCTTTCAGGCTTTGCAGGCCGTGTGGCCACAGACAGTGGACAAGTGAATGGATAGGCTGTGTCCCAATGAAACTATTTATCAAAACAGACGGCAGACTGGATTTGGCCCGCGGGCTGTAGTTTGTCTGTCCCTGCAATGGAGAAAGAGGAGAGATGAGTTCTGGTGAAGAGGAACGGGGAAAGCTTCTTGGAGGAAGTGGTGATTGAGCTGGGCCTTGGAAGAGTGGGGTTTGGGTGATGGGAGACAGAGGCGGCACCTTCCAGAGTTGGGGATCCTGTAGGCAAAGGCACAGCGGGGAGGAGACAGGCGAGGTGTAGGCAGGTTTGCTTGTCTGGTTTGAGTAGCACGTGAAGGGGGACTGAAGAAGGACAGCATGGTGGCGGAGAAAAGAAACGCTGAGCCAAGGGCTGCTGTGGATCTGAGAACAGTCCGAGTGAGTCACTGAGCGTGAGGAAGACCGCCCTGTGGAGGGTGAAGGACTGACGGGAGGGAGGGAGGTGGCTGGGGAGTGGGGCAGCTTTGGGGCCGACCCCAACAGGTGGTGACAGGGGCTAGGTTCATGGCCATAGGCAAAGGTTAGTCACCACTGGATTCTAGAAATTACCTTTTTTTTTTTTTTTTTTTGCTTGCATAAGGTAAAATAAAATCTTTTAAATTGGCTGCTTTGAGAACTTTTACAACAGGCACAACTGCTGTAAAAATGATTTTTTTTTTTTTAAATGTGATCTTGTCTTAGAACAGTTTGAAGTTTTTTTGTTTTTTGTTTTTTAACCATTTTTAAGTGTACAGCTTGGTGGCATTAAAGTACATTCTCATTGTGCGACCATCCCCAACGTCCATGTCCAGAACTTTTCATCTTCCCAAACTGAAACTCTGTCCCCATTAAGCACTAACTCCCATCCCCCTCCCCCAACCTCTGGCCCTCACCCTTCTACTTTCTGTCTCTATGACTTTGACTCCTCTAGGAACTTCATGTGTGTGAAATCGCACAGCGTTCGTCCTTTTGTGACTGGCTTATTTCACTCAGCATAATGTTCTCAAGGTCCCTTCATGTTCTAGCATGTGTCAGAATTTCCTTCCTGTTTAAGGCTGAATAATATTCCATTGTTTGTGTATACCATATTTTGTCCATCCATTCATCTGACCGTGGACATTTGGGACAGTAATTCAGTTTTGGGGAGCAGTGAAGTCCATCAGTGTCTCCAGGTCAGTTTCCATCATGCTTTGAAATATTGAGAGTCTGGGTTTGGTTTCTCATGCTTACAGGACAAATGCCTCCCACCCCTCAGGCTGCTCGCTCACAGGACAGAAACAAAGCCAGCAGCAGTACGACCCCTCCACAGGATCTCCAGTGCAGAAGGCCACTTGCACACTCCTCCTCTGCAGCTCCCCGGCAGGCTGCCCCGGGCTGGCCTCCCCACTGCCATGTCTCTGCAGCTGCCACAGCAGCCCCTGCCAGAGCTGCAGGCACAGCCCCAGGGTCCAGAAAAGACCCAGCTACCAGCTTCGCCGCTTGTGCCCCTGCTGCCAGGCCAGCTCTTGGTGCCCCAGCATTCTGCAGCCAGCGCCCCGTGTCCTGGCCCACAGGCAGGCAGCACCCCAGGTATTCAGTGGAGCTCTCCCTACAGCCTGGCACACGCCAGTCCTCACCAGACCGCACGTGCAATCAGGCCAGGGTGACGCTGGTTGTGCTGTCTAAGGATTTGTGCATATGTGCATTCCCAGTAAATTTGAAGGAGTAGTTTTTATTGTTAAATGTTTTTTACCTCTTAGGTACTTAAAATTAAATGGTTAGGGCCATAGGGCAACGTTTTGCTAAAAGTTCTAGTGGAGTAGAAAATGTAATGAGCTCTTGAGCTGTAGAGTTTGCGACCTGGTGAATAACTGGCTGTTTCCTGGACAGACTGTGGCACTGACACCGCTATCGCTGGATGCTGGCCAGGCTGCTCAGCGCCTTCCAGCCAGCGTGCTACCTGCTTAGTCTCCACCCTCAGTGCCCCTGTCCATCTGTCCTGTGCAGACAGATGGCACCCTCCCAGCAAGCAACAAATCGACGTCTCCTGTAGCATCCAGACATGTCGGGCCCAGCTGTGACCTCAGTCCCCAGAGCTCAGAACACAGCCCACAGTGCAGAGGTCCAGCCACCGGACAGCTCCCAGGACAAAAGTGCAGAGCAGATAGAGCTGGTAAGAGAGTTTAGTTCTCAATGGGACCAGTAGTTTGTTATTAAGCTGCTTAGAGAAATTTGGAAATTGAAGAGTCTGCATATATTTTTCAATATGGCAGAGTGTAATTGAAGAGATCTTTTGAAAATTAGTCCTATCTCTGTGTCTGGTGCTTCTTTTACACTAGCCATCCCGCTCAGAGTCAAGAGCAGGGAGGGATCTAAAGGTGTGAACAGCGTGGGAAGTATTGCAGGGCACCCTTGAGCATCCTACCTGAGTGGTCCACATCTCTCCCTCTTCCCGACCTTTCTGACCCTCCCTTGTTCTGTTAGCCTGCCTTTCCTCCCCTTCCTGCTCCTTTTCTTGTCAGTCTTTATTTCTGCTCAGTGCCAGGCCCCGCTGCACATGTTGTCATATTTAAGCCTGGGAGCAGGGGTGAGATAGGGAGGGGGACACACAGGCTTCAGGGGCTCGGGATGATTTTTTGGTGATTGGCCAGAAAAGATGGTATTAGTTTTACTTTTGAGATTTATTTCTTCAGTATGACCCTACCCTTAGAATAAATACTAATTGTAGAGTTACAGCTGGTTGGTTAGAAAAAGCTTGATCACAAAATTGGAGTACTTATTCAGTACACTTTAGATGGGGAGCATGCTAGATGATTGGGAGAGAGATAATAAAGATTAATTTAGTCCTTAAGGGAAATTATATAAAAACACAGCAGGCACAAACACAACATTATGTAAAATGAATGGGTAACCCCGGATGTTGCATGGAAATATAGGGCCCTGCAGCAGTATTACAAGTTCAAAGACAGAGTGGAGTCACCTAGTGGATTTAATGAGAAAATAAAAATTAGGTGGTTAGAATATCGGAAATTTTAAAATAATGTTAAAAATTAAGATTGTCTTTATGATCCCCTTACTGAACAAATTGAAAACTTAATACAGAGTTTTAAGTGATTTATCCAAGGACAAATGGATAGTTGGAGGAAAAGCCAGGATTTAAACCTAAGAATCACCCTAGTCGGGGTGTGATCTTAAATATCACCTCAGTCAAGATATAAACCTAAATATCATTTCAGTCCAGGTGTGAACCTAAAAAGCACCTCAGTCACGGTAAGAACCTAAATATCACTCCAGTCAGGAATGACCCTAAATATCACCTCAGTCAGAATGTGAACCTGGGGGCCGGCCCAGTGGCGTAGCGGTTAAGTGCGAGCGCTCTGCTTTGGCAGCCCAGGGTTCGCAGGATCAGATCCCAGGCGCGCACCAACACACTGCTTGTCAAGCCATGCTGTGGCGGCGTCCCATATAAAGTGGAGGAAGATGTGCACAAAAAGAGGAGGATTGGCATCAGATGTTGGTTTAGGACTGATCTTCCTTACAAAAAAATAAATAAATAAAAAATAAAAAATAAAAGAATGTGAACCTATATCACCGCAGTCAGGGTGTGACCCTAAATATCACCCCAGTCAGGGTGGAACCTAAATATCACTCCAGTCAAGGTGGAACTCTAAATATCACCTAGTCAGGGTGTGATCCTAATCACCCCAGTCAGTGAGTGACCCTAAAATTCACTCCAGTTAGGATGTGAACCACCCTAAATCTAAATATAACCCCCGGCAGGGAGTGACCCTAAACATAGCAAGGAGTGACCCTAAACATCTTCAGTTAACGTGTAAACCTGAAAATCACCTCAGTCAGGATCTGGCACTAAATATCACTTCAGTCAGGCTGTTAACCCTAAAAGTCACTTCAGTTAGGGTGACACCCTAAATATCACTCCCGTCATAATGTGTACTTAAATATCACTCCAGTTAAGGTGGCACGCTGAATATCACCAAGTCAGGGGATGACCTTAAATATCACCCTAGGTAGAGTGTGAATCTAATTATCACCCCAGTCAGGATCTGAACCTAAATATTACCTCAGTCAGGATCTGACCCTAAATATTACCTCAGTCAAGGTATGAACCTAAAAATCACCTCAGTCTGGATGTGAACCTAAATATCACTCTGGTTAGGATGTGAACTTAAATAACATTCCAGTCAGGACCTGAACTTAAATACCATCCCGGTCAGGATAACCCTAAATATCATTGCAGTCAAGGTGTGACCCTAAATATCACCCCAATCAGTATGTGACCCTAAAAATCACTACAGTCAAGGTGTGATGCTAAAAATCTCCTCAGTCAGAATAAGACCCAAAATATCACCATAGTCTGGATGTGACCATAAAAATCACTCCAGTCAAGGTGTGAATGTAAGTTTCACCCCAGTGAGAATCTAAACCTAAATATAACCTCAGTCATGATCTGACCCTAAATATCACCTCTGTTAGATGTAAACCTAAATATCACCTCAGTCAGTGTGTGCACCTAAATTTTCCACTCAGGATCTAAACCTAAATATCATTCCAGTCAAGATGTGAACCTAAATATCATTTCAGTCAAGATGTGAACCTAAATATCATTTCAGTCAAGATGTGAACCTAAATATCATTTCAGTCAAGATGTGAACCTAAATATTATTTCAGTCAAGGTGTGAACCTAAATATCACTCCAGTCAGGATCTTTCCCTAAATAGCTCCTCAGGCAGGATGTTAACCCTAAAAATCACTTCAGTCAAGGGATGAACCTAATATCACTCCAGTCAGGAACTGAACTAAATATCATGCCAGTGAGGGTGTGACCCTAAATATCACCCCAGTCAGGGTGTGAACCCAGATATCACTCCAGTCACAATGTGTACCTAAATTACACTTCAATTACAATGTGAACCTAAATGTCACCCCTGTCAAGGTAGACCTCGAAGTATCCCCTAGTCAGGGTCTGACCCTAATATGAACCCAGTCCCTAAATTTCACTCCAGTTAAGAGTGTGAACCACTCTAAACCTAAATATCATCCAGGCAGGGAGTGACCCTAAATATCACCTAAGTTAAAGTGTAAACCTAAAAATCACCTCAGTCAGAATCAGACCCTAAATATTGCCTCAGTCAGGCTATTAACCCTAAAAATCACTTCATTCATGGTTTGACCCTAAATATTACCACAGTTAGGATGTGAACCTAAATAGCACTCCCATCTGATTCTTAACCTAAGTATTACCTCAGTCAGGATCTGACCCTAAATATCACCTCAGTCAAGGTGTGAATCTAAAAATCACCTGAGTCAGGATCTGAGCCTAAATACCATTCCAGTCAAGATGTCAATCTAAATATGATTCTAGTGAAAGTGTGACCTTAAGTATCACCTCAGTCAGGGCGTGACCCTAAATGTCACCCAAATTATCTCTAACCCTAAATATAACCTCATTCAGGATCTAAACCTAAATATCACTTCAGTCAGGATGTGGCCCTAAATATCGCCTCAGTCAATGTGTGAACCTAAAATAACCTCAGTCAGGGTGTGAACCTAAATATCACTCCGGTCAGGATCTGAACCTAATTATCATTTCACTCAAGATGTGAACCTAAATATCCCTCCAGTCAGAGTGTGACCCTAAATATAATCCCAGTCTGGATGTGACCCTAAATATCATCCCAGTCAGGATATGACCCTAAATATAAACCCAGTTAGGTTCTGAACCTAAATATGTCTTCACTCAGAATGTGAACCTAAATGTCACCCCAGTCAGAATCTAAACTTAAATATCATTCTGGTCAAGAAGTGAAGCTAAATGTCATGCCAATCAGGTTTTGACCCTAAATATCACCCTACTCAGGATGTGATATCAATCACCCCTGTCATCATGTTAACCCTAAAAATCACTCCAGGCCCAATGTGACCCTAGAAAACACCCCAGTAAGTATGTGACTCTAAATATCACCCCAGCCAGGGTGTGACCCTAAATATCACCTCAGTCAGCATCTGACCCTAAATATCACCTCCCTTAAGATGTGAACCTAAAAATTGCCTGAGTCAGTATATGAACCTAAATACCATTCCAGTCAGGATCTGAACCTAAATATCATTCCAATCAAGATGTGACCCTAAATATACCCTCAGTCAGTATCTAAACCTAAATATCACCTCAGTCAATGTGTGAATCTAAAAATAACTTCAGTCTGGGTATGAACCTAAATGTCTTCCAGTCAGGATCTGAACCTAATTATCATTCCAGTCAAGAAGTGATCCTAAATTTAAATCCAGTCAAAGTGTTTCCTTAAATATCACCCCAGTCAGGATGTGACAATTAGTATCACCTCAGTGAAGGCGTAAACCTAAAAATGGATGAGGCCAAAAAATCATTCCAGTGAGGGTATGATGCTAAATACTACCCCAGTTAGAGTGTGAACCTAAATATCACTCCCATCTGGATCTAAACCTCAATATCGTCTAGTCAGGATCTGACCCTAAATATCACCTCAATCTG